CCCCTGCATCTTTGGTCGGCATTCATTTGAATTTTTTGGGTTTTAGATTTCATTTAGTTTGCATTTAAATTGCTTTTTTAATTAGTAGCCTAGATTAAAAAGTTCCACCAAATGACGAGTGGCTGTTTATGAATGCTGGAAAATGTATAGAAGACGCCGCCTATGCAATGCGCACAAGGCATTTCTCGGAGGGGCCAATTGACATTGAATCAAATGAATGCTTAAGAATTTCCCATGCAAATGCTGGATGAAAAAGTTGACACTAAATGGGGGGAAATAATAAATGTAATTTTCAAATTTTACGCTTTCCACTCAGTGTCGTTTTTGGCTTAAGAAAATGAGCAAAAGCAAAGTCCCTTCTTTACTTTTTCCTTCATTTCCCCCCAACCAAAGACAGACTGCATTGGGTAAAAGTTTTTCCCCCCAGTCAGCATACAAAGTAAAAAGTTAACTTGCTTTTCCTTTTGTTGTACTTACAATTTTCTTTTCCTATTTTCTGTTTTTTTTTCTTCTTCTTTTTCTTGTTTTATTTCTGTGTTAATTTTGGCTTACAAAAAAATCAGATATGTGGGTTCCGTGCTGTTATTTTTAGATATTCATATACAAAACTCTTGTATTGTCAGCAAGTGAGAGTACGGTGGTGCAGCGAAGTGGGAGAGCGATTTAGAGGTAACAAAAATGGCAAAGAAAACTTCATTTCCGTATGTGACCAGAAACACGCGCCATGGCAGCTCTCTGGAATCGATTTCCGTTTCCGCCTTTTTTGGGGGTCAGCAGCCGCTGCTGTTGCGTGTTAAAAGCGGCACGCATTGAGGAACACATCAATTCCATGCCAGCAAACCTCATTAATAATGTATTTTTTGGTATGGGGAATTTTCGGGAATGGGGGAATTTCATGAATGAAAAAGTTCTGTAAGCGATCGACGAGCGAATTTCATTGGAAAGAAATTCATCATGTATATTATTTTCTTTCGTTGAGCTTCATTTACCTATGTATACTATTCCATGGTCTATATTTATTCCAGAAATTCATTTTTGCGTATGATAAGTATTTGTTTATTTTACCTACGCAGAAAACTCAATTCAATCAAAAATACAAAGAAGGGAAATTTTGTTATTATTCCGATTGTGGATTGTGGTGACTGGAGTTTATGCGTAAAATATATAACCACAATCCTGTCATAGAGACAGCACAAAATAAAAAATACAACAAAAAAATTATTTTAATTGTTGACTGACTAATTCTCATACAGAAAAACATACATACATAATAAATAAATCAACATTTTGTGATAATTTTCAAGCATTTGTGATGTTGTGTATGTGTGTTTGTGGCTGGGTCAAAGGTCACGACGTGTACATTTATCAATTGGTCAATGGCCACACAACACAATGAATGGCCCTGCCTCACTCATAATGCGCCATTAAGTGACGCTCAAGGAAGTTAATCACATGGAAATGCCTAAAGATTAGAAATTATGACATTAATTTTTCACCAAACAAAATCCTTAGATTTCCAGTCATTTCTCATTTTGAGGCAGACAACAAAAGTCAGTTAAGCACAAAATATGGCCAACATTCAAACATAGCTGATAGATAAACTTGAAATCTACACACGAATGAGTGCGACCCAAAGAGGACATGGAGGGGGAAGATGAACCCCTGAAAAGCGGCAAATCATGCTTAATGTGGCATTTGTATGTTTCGAGGTCCAAGAACTTGAAAGAAATGCCAACGGACAGTAATACCATAAAAAAAGAGGCTGAAAAATAAAATAAAAATGAGAGACAGACCCGAAATGAAGGCCAAGGCAGACAATAAGCCATAGAAAGAAGGCAAATACAAACCACAGAGGCAGAGAAAAAGACTTCATTCCAAAAAGGAGAGGCAGAGCAAAGATGATATAAATTTTATTGTCATGTCCAAGTAGATTAAACTATAGCCTGCATGTCCTCGGAATCCCCTGGATGTCCACATTCGAGAGCGCCCAACAAAGTAGGCTATACAAAAGGCAGAAGAGATTTATGTGTGTGTGTGTGTGTGTGTGGCTATAAAAAGTATATTTTCTGCATTTTTTTTTTTGGGTCTCCCACAAAATCAAGAGAGAGAATTTCATTAAATGGAAGGAATGGCATGGAATTAGTAGACATGGAAAACACCTCGGAGTGCTGTGCTTCTTCTTTTGGGTTCTTTTTCAGGGATTGCTTAGGTATATCTCTTGGCTGCTTATCTGGCAATTCACTTCGAATAAATAATGATTTATTGCACCTTTTTTTTTGGTTTTGCGGCTCTGTCTGACAGTTGGGAATACGCCCCCCAAAGGCTCATTAACTTAAACTGTCAAAAATTTACATATTTTTTGGGGTTTTTCCTCCTGTTTTTTTTTGTGGCAAAGATTTATTATGAAATGTTCAAGGAATTTAAGGACATGGGACTAAGTTGCAGACCTTCGTTTTGCTACTGGTTTTTCTTTCTGGCGGCTGCTTATCCAATTATCAAAACCAGACATTTAATTTTCCCTTTCACTTTGTGCTCTCGACCCACAAATTGCTCGTTCAATTAGCCGCCGCCGCCACCGCCGACGCCTTTGAGGCCGTGCACTCAAAATATATATACATATGTATGTACATATATATATATCGTGTATATATCTCTCGTAAAATCTCCAATTCAATTTGGGACCTCAGAGTGTCTCAAGTTTCAGGCTTCAAACCATTTATCATAATTTCTTATGAGGCAAAAAGATGAAAACTCTTGCAATTTCAGCAAAAGTTGTATCTTCCTTCATTGGCATTTTGGGGCGGGACCTTTATTTATTTCGTGGCATCTGCCATCGCAAGACAAATTGCAGGTAGAATGTTACGTCTCTTTCATTTTCATACTTGAATGAATCTGTGTTTATTTAAGAGTTTTTATATGACTTTGGAATACCCTTAAGAAAATAAAATCGAGTGTATTTGTTATTTATGATATGACCATATTTTGTAGAGTAAAAGTAATACAGAAAGATATCCTGAAATGATCATCAAACTGATAGAACATTAGTCATCAAAATCGGTTCGAAAATGGATTAAAATAAATTGATAAATAAAGATAATAATTAAATTAATAAAATTTATGCAACAATTAGATAAAATGAATTCGAAGAGAAAAAGAACTTTATTTTTCACTGCCCTCAAAGGGTATATCAGTTTAGACTTTCACAAAAAGATTTTATGACTCAGTTTGATTCATTTTTCATATTTTTCAGGCACAGACGACATTTCTCTTATCACTTATCACAATGGAAATAACAATGGAAATTCAGCTAATTGGAGGACATGTCTATCGAAAAAAAATACAATCTAAGGCCAAGTGGCTTGGAGAATAAAAAGTGCGCCAAGAAGAAAACAATTGAATGAAAATCTGAAGAAATTTGTGAATTCGGAAAGGTAAGTGTTGCTTAAAGAGGTTTCTTGGGATTTTTAATATATTTTTAGTAGAAATACACAATTTTTTGAGTTTTTATCTGAGTTTTACACTGTTATTATTACCCAGAAATATATTCATAACGCAGGCATGACTAAATGGACAAGTGGCCACAAAATATAAGAGATTCAAGTGCCCTTGCAAAAATATATATTACGTATACGCCCAGACATTCTACAAATTAATTGAAAACCAGCGGAAAATCAAGCCAACTGTCTAGCCAAGTGATGAACGAGTGTCTTGCAGGGAAATGGAACTAAACGACATACGGAATGAGAGACTAACTGAAGGGCTAACAGGCAGAATAATTGACGGACTGAAAGACAGACTAACAGACAGACGGATGGACGCTTGCTTTTGTGGCTTGAAACTGCAGTGGTATATCAAAATGTAGCTCTTAACGGTCGTTGATAGACAATCAAATTTACTTTCGAATCGCCTGTGCATTTCACCATCCCCCGCAGAAGTTTTTCTCTTGCTTCTATCGACTGACAGGTGCCGCAGCAGCAGAGAGTGAGAGAGCGACTGCTGCTGATGGGTTTCCATTAAGAGTACGCGCTTTTTCCCTCCTCTTTCCCATTCCTTAGTTTGGAGTTTTAATTAAAATGTAATTTACTTCCATGTCGAACGGAGGAGGAGATGCCGAGTGAACGAGCCCTGCTGCACATTTCCCAGCGGCAAAACTGCTGCTAGAATTGACTTGATTTTTTCGAATCTTTGGGAAGTCTAAAACAGGGAAATCTTCAGAAATCAAATTGTGGCATTTAGGGCACTAATTGTCTATTGAATATGAATGAACGTGAAATTCGAATTTAAGGAATTTTCATTGCATTGTTTTTCGCTATTTTCTCATTGAAAATTTGCGAAATTTTAACCCTCTCCTTGTATATTTATTTCTCCTTCCCAGTGTGACTTAGCATTAAAATTTGTTTTTCTTCTATTTATTTTCTTATTTTACCAACATACAAAAATTAAATATTCTGCCTATAAAAGTGGAAAATGCTTAAGGTAAGGATTCACACCAGCAAAAACCCAGACATACTTTTAGACATACATTTTTTGGCCACTTTGCATTGAAATCCTTCCACAGGACCTTCTTTGCAGCTTAGCAAATGCCCTTTTTTCTCTGTGTGTGAGTGGAAAATTTGAAAAATGCCAAAACATTTGTTCCATTTGCATCAGCAGCAGGAGCAGCAGCACCCGAACGGGAAGGCCAGAGAGAGAAAGTGAAAACCCAAGCGAAATTTTTAAAAAACTTCGGCCTTTAGATGACCCTTTTTCATCCTGGCGTTTGGTCTGAGGGATTAACGTGCAGAAAAGCCGAAGAAAAATGAAAACGCGTTACCCCACACACACATACTGCCCTGCCGTCTGGCAGCCTCTGCCAATTTATTCAAATGCCTGGCAAAGTGCTAAATAAACAAGACTCTTGTGCTGTCATTTTTCTTGGTTTTAGGGCGAAAGAGAGGCCCAAAAATTATAGGATACTTAGGCATACCCTCATCCCCTCCTTGCTTCACCCGCACACTCACCTTGTATGGGCACATAAATATTTAGATAAAGACAATCCTCTGATTGATTCTGCAGATAAGGCAGCAAACGCTTTAGATACTCCAGACGTCCCTTGGGCATTCGTTCCAGCGTTGCCGTCTCATTGTGAATGTCCGGCAGACGTTGCGGGCAAACAGGACTGAATCTGGAAACACAAAAATGAGAAATTATGAAAAGATTTCAAAGATTTTCATAGAAATATTAAAGCGCAAAAGCTTGATTTTTAGCTTCTGTAATTTTTCTTCGATTTCGTCTAATGTGGCTTAGCCCTAAAGATAATGTTTTGCACAAATACAAAAACCTTAAAACATACCTTTAAAAATAAATATTCTTAAATTTTATTTGATTCTATCTCTCCCAGTGTGGCTTAGCATTTGGTTAAAAATTATATAATGTATGCCACTACCATCAGAAATGAGTGTTTAACTTTATCCTTCTTTACATTATCTTCTCTCTCTCTCTCCCAGTTCGGCTTAGCTGACTTAAAAATAAGTTTTCTTCATATCTTAATATTTATGGTAAATTTGTTTTCGATTAAAATTTGTCGATTTTTTTTTAATTTGTACTCTTTTTTTTACCAGTGTATTGCTTAAGCTTGTTGTTTAAAAAGGTTTTGCCCGCACAGAACGGAAGAAACTTTTTACGTTAAATAGGCTTATTTTTATGCCTGTCCACGAATGTCGTTATAAATAGATTAATTTGCTTCAAATTGTGTAATCTTTTTAGGGGACATTCAAGAAAATGAAAGGAAAAGAGAAGACAAAGATTGGAAAGTGGAGAAAGGGAAGAGAGGAGTTCCAGGGAGTATGTATGGGTCAACGACTAACGTCAACTTTGGTGATTGTCTTTTGGCCATAACAACTTTTTGATTTGAGGACGAACGCAAGAAAAAACTTTGGCTTTTAATTTGTTTTTCTTTTTGTTTTGGCCCACCCACAATTTGCTTGGGGTTTCCCCCCTTTTTCGAAGCTTATTTTCGATTGGTTTTCGATTTGGTTTTGTCCGGTTTAGTCCCCCTCAACATGTCTCGTTATCCCTCTTCTCTTACGTTTTCTGTGTGTATTTTGTGTGCAATTTTACTGATGATTTCTATCCTTCTTTCTATTTTCATCTGCTTTCTCCACCCAAAATGCAATGTCCAATGCATGGCAATGTTGCCTGGTAGCGTTTTCCCTCCCTTTGGCCTTGCGCTCATTTATGAATATGTGTTTCTGGGGGGGTTCCTGAGTTCCAGCAGCTGCCTTGAACTACTGGCATTGTTATTATTTGTTTTTAATCTCATCCATGTGGGATCCATGTGTCCCTCCATCTGCAATCCAAAACTGCATTTTCTGTTGAATTTCTGTTTGAATTTTCGATATTTGACTTGATCCCCAGATTTCTCTGGAATAAAAACCTCTTTAAACTGTCGGCCTTAACTCATTAGCTGCTGGTTCCCTTTTGGGGCTCTCTGGGATGCTTCTGAGCTGCCCATCAAATTCTCATAAAGCGAAAATCAATAGCCAATGGGAAATCTTTTCGCTTTTCCTATCTGCCTCTGTGCCATTATGACGCGGAAACCCCGAAAGCAGAAAATGCATTAACATTAATGACATTGCGAAAATGAAAATGAGAATTTATTTTATTTAATTTCCTTTAAGTTTATTTTCTCGCTGGCCCTTTTTTATCGCTTGTTGCTCTTGTTTTTCTTTGTTTTTACTGCGAGTATATTTGATTTTGTTGTTTTTTTTTAATGTCATTTCAAATGGTTTTTGCAGATCTCCTGTGGCTGCTTGCGCTCTCTTGCACAGTGTGGCTTAGCCGTAGAGTTCCCAGAAAGAAAGAGTGAGAAAGAATTGTTTCGGACATGGCAAAAATTATACGGAATGGGTCGTCCACCCATGAATGGGTCAATGGGTGATTGTGATTCCATCTGTGGGTGGCTGCTTCCATCAGCTCCCGTTTTAATGGACGCTTGTGGTCGGTCGTGGTGGCTCCTCTGCGATTGCCATAATAATCATTAATTTAATGGCAAAACAATAAGGCAGGTAATAAAAGTTTCATTTTCGGGGGCTCTCTGGCTTCATTTTCGCTTCGGCTATAAGTATATTTTCTCTCACTCTTTCTCTCTCTGCCTTTGGTTTTTTTTTGTGGCGGGAAATGGGTGACAGTATTGCCAGCAGCTTGCCCAGAGAAAATATTAAAAATAATGAAAGTGAAAAGTTTTTATGATGCAGTTTCCATGCCAGAGAGAGTCAAGCTGTTCAGCAGTGGTTCAGGTTATGCTCTCTGAATCTCTCTGGTTGTATCTCCCTCGTCACCTGAATGTATCGCTGGTTTTTCCTCCCTCCCCCACTGAATGTATCTCTGGTTTCATGCCACCTCTCCTGTTGCCTCCTGGTTGGGGACCATAAAGGCCACATTTTGCACATTTTTAATGCTGCTGCTGCCAGGGGCACGCAAACGAATTGTGTGTACACTTCTCAAGTGATCTTGTTTATGCCACTTTGCAACCGCTGAACTTTTCCAGATAACAGTGAATGGGGTGGGGGGCGAAAAGGGAGAGACAGGTGTGTGGCACGAAAGGGGGAGGCATTTGCTAATAAAGCGAATGGTGCGAATGGCAATTAAGGTCATTGGGGTTGGGTGTTTGGTGGGGTCGATATAAACATTCGCGCAAATGGCCAGACACTAAAAAACTTGATAATTACTTGCTCATTCTATGAGCATGAGGAGAATAATCATGAAATGGATGGATGGGTTCCCTAGAAGCCAATTTTGGTAAGAAAGAGTCATTGCCATGCGTTTTAGTACACTTTCCTCTGTTCGAGTAAAGTTTTTACTACAACTTTTTTAGTGTGGTGTGCTCTATAAGGAGTGTTTGGGGTGCCAAATGAAGTTGTAGAGGTTTTATTTTATAGAGAGAGAGAGAGAGTTATAGTTTTTTAACGGAGAGATTCTGAAAGGGAGTTCTGCCTATTTTAGAACTTTGCCTTAGAACTGACTCAAAATTATCTAAATTTAAAGTGTGGAAGTTTCTTTACGCAACTGGAGCTAAATTCTCATATTTTGCCACTGTGGCTTGGCAGAACATTTGGCGATTTAATGCGACTATTTACCTGTTGATGGAAGAGAAGAAATCTTTCTATTGCTGAATTTTCACCTCTGAAAACTTACTGCCTATGTCTTTTACTCCCTCTCACTCTGCCAGTGTAGCTTGGCAGCAAAGGAAATTCAATATGGGACAGGCAGAGAGATTTCTGGATTTATGGGACCTTCATTACAATTCGAAGAGGAAATAATTTAGATTGAAAGTTCTGTCGGATACTTGCCAGCGAACAGTTTGCATCTCCCATCTGCCAGGTTTTCCCTACCCTCTCTGGCAGGTCATACTGCTGCTCCTGCTCCTTCTAGTGGCACAACCTACTCCTCTGCTCTGCTCTTGCCTTGTATATTCCTTTGTGGCATCTGCTGCTCGTCTGATCATTTACCACAAACAGATATCTGTTGGGATTTTGTGTGCAAACATTTTGTGTAGTCCTGTACGACCCTGACCAAAAGGCCTTCCCGATTTAGCATCAGCATCAGGCAATAGAGGCGGCAACACGCGGTCTCAAGCAAACAAGGTCCTGCCACATCCAACTCATAAACGGAGAGGAGAGAGAAGAGCAGAGGAATACATGCAATTTGGAATTCACAAACAAAACGTAAAGGCAAAAAGCCAAACGTTGCTCCGAATTGTGTTTACATTTTGGAATGGAAGCCAAGGCTAATCTGCATTCAGTGGCATGAGGCGCTGGGGCATGACCATGGGGCAAGGACCATTTCTCTTTGTGGTCCCCTCGCGTTTTGTGGCTTAAATACATCAAACAAAAGCATAATCTCGACGAAGCAGAAAAGTACACGCATCCCAGAGACTTCAATTGGTGTCCAGTAGAAGCAGTGTGGTGTGGTGCGGAGGATGCTGCCACAGAGAAGGGGAGTGCCAGTGTGGCAAGAGCTGTGCTGTGTGGCAGCCATAAAATTATACGCGACATTGCGGCCACGTCAAGTAAAATAGATTAATTTTACCTGTGGGCAATGTCCTCTCGTCATCGTCATCTCTGTCGCACCTTCTCTCACACCCTTCTCTCTCTCTCACTGTCTGTGGCACACACACAAATTAGATTGGTGGCAGACACCACCATAGCAGCAGTATGCCCCTTGCCATAAAGCTTTTGCTTCTTTGCCGCAATGTCAAATTAAATAAAATCCAATTTAAAATGAATTTTCGCAATTTCATTTAAAAACGCGGGGCAACAGTTTGTCGAAGCAGCAGCAGCAGCAGCAGCAGCCAGCAGAGTCTAAGGCAATTTATGTGTACTTGCCACATGCCCCCACCACCCGCCTCCTTTCCACCTTTCAGAGACACGCCCGTTCACCTTTTTGACGCACGCCCTCTGCGGTTGCCCGCCTGCCACGCTCTTGAGTCTCAAATTGGAATTAACGTTTTTAATGATGGCAGAAGCAGCAGCAGCAACAGCAATCTACCTGCCACTTGCCAATGTCCCACAGCCACAGCAGCTACTGTGCCTCATGGCTGATTCCTGCCGCCTGCAACCTTCTGCTGTAAAAGAGGATTCCTCCTGCCACCTTCTGCTGTAAAAAAGGATGCCTCCTGCAGCACTGCTCAAGTGGTTGCCTTGCTGCACGCACATTTTGAAGGTCTTTTCATTAATGCGCTTTTTTTTTATTTTTCTTATTAGGAAAATCGTTAACTTGAGTTTTCCTCCACTTAGCGTTTTTGCGTTTTACTTTTTCTTCTTTATTAAAAACTTTGGCGTCATGCATAAAACTCTCGCTCGTCGTCGCTCGACGGTTTATTGCGATTTTTACACTTTGTTTATGAGGCACGAAAGCAGAGAGAGTGAGAGCCACAGCCCCATAGTGCTACTTGCTCCACCGGCTCTGCTGCTTCTGCAGGTTTCATGCGGCCTGGTCAGAAGGTTCCCGGAACTCTTGGGCCTTGCCGTTGCCACTAATCCGCTTGTTTTTCATAATCTTGACGCCACCATTAGGGGTTACTGGTGCTGGAAAAAAGTGTAAAAGTGGCTTATACCTGGTACTTCAGGGGTAACAGTGGGTATATTAGCTGCTAGGATATGTTTGTAGGAGCCAGAAGGAAGACAACTCGAACCCAGAAAGTATATTCGAATCTGGATTTTGGTTTAGCTCTCTCTTTCTTTCAGTGTGGCTGAGCAAGGGTCAGTATTTGGTTACCTTCACGTTTAGCTTCCTTATAGAGAGAGAATGAGTAGAAAGGAGACTGCGTGAAAAGAAAATGGGGGAATGATGGAGCTTCTGTTGCAAATAATAAGAAATGAAGGAGGCTCTGGCAAGGAGGAGGAGAACGTCAGAAAAAGGGGGATGCCAGAAAGAGGAGCCTAGCAGAAGGAGGAGAAGAGTACGAAAAAGTAGAAGGAGGCTTTCAGTGGTAGGAGTATGGTGGAGGTTGTTGGAAAATGGAGTTCCTCTGCTGGTGACACGCGTCGCTTGTCAAAGCCATGAAAACAGCTGCTGCGGCTGCTGTTGCTTCTGCCTTTGGCGGCCTATGAAATGTACTCGTATATGTGGACACAATTTTTTGCGTACTTCCTCGCTTCCTCACCCCCTCAACATTTTTTGTGGTTGCGAAATTATTTTTGCACTGAGGTCGATGAAAAGTTGAAGGTAGTCCGGGGCGCGGTTAAAGCGGTTACTGCGGTGGTGGCAAGCAGCACGAGTATGTGACACGCATAAAGTTCTCTCTTTTTTTGTATGTACAATTTTTAGAGTTTTTTTGTGGCTGGGGTAGGAAAAATTCCATTCAATGGAAAGTTTTCTTCAAAGAGAAAACTACTAGCAGAAAAAAAGCTGGAAAAAGTAAAAGAGGATATGTGCAGACAAATGGAATGAGAAGTATGTGGCAAAAATTGTGAGGAATTGTAGGACCGTTTTTTAGCCATATTTCTTCCAATAAACAATCATAAAACTAAAAAAAAAACCTTAAAAACCGATTTTACAGATATTAAAAGTGAAATCACACTCTAGCGGCAATACTAATGCGGAAAGTGGAAAACTTTCCAACCAAAAAATAAAGTTTTTACACTTGAAATTCCTGTAGGAATAAAATGGATGCGGAGACCCTCATCTCTCACTAATTTAATGAGAATTTCTTTAAAAGAAACCAACTTTAACAGATGAAATGTTTTCTCAATCTAAAAGCGTTAAATCATTTCAGTGGACCCCTTGAAAAAGGGTTTCCCAAGTGCCATATAAAATTATCAAAATGTTATAAGTCAAAAGCAAGGGGAGGCTCTCTACCACTCGTTATACTTTATGTTGACTTTCTTTCTCAGTCTGGAGAATACAATTGTCACCTCAATTAACTTGCTCATCATTGAGTCAAGTGCGCCAACAAACCCCCGAAAATGTTGAATGAAAATAATGGAAACGCGACAGACAACAATAGCATCATAATGATAATGGCTTTTAGAAAAAAAGGAGAAAATACAAGTCAAAGGTCAAGCTGGGCTTCCGCTTGAAATATGGCACAAATTAAATATTTACGCTGTCGCTGGGACACAGAATCAAGCAGCAGCCAGCAGGCAGCAGCCAGCATCTAATTTACAAATGCTCCCAAGTGGCAAATCATTATTCACGAAAAGATGCCCCCCACGGGACAAAAGGACACCGAAAAAAGGGATTGTAAAGGGCAAAAGTTTTCACCCTTTTTCCCTGCTAATGAAAAAAGGGACACGCGACGCGAAAATCAGGGAGGCCCCACAAAAAGCGAATAAAATATAATTTTTCAAGTTTAACAATGCTCGCGGCGGCCGAGAGCAGATGCTACCTGCCCCCATGATTCGCGCATTCTCTGCTGATGGACAGGCGGATGTCCTGCCACGTCATCTTCACTTTTATTTTATTTTGTTTCTCAGAAGGTGAGCGAGCGCAAGGGGCCTTATTTTTGTTGACAGAAGGCGGGGGGTGCCGTGCCAGTGACTGGTGCCAGTGCCCCGAAACGAGCGCCAATAAAACGGCTTGAGTAATGTTCTAGAGATATTTCAGCGTGTCAGCGTAATAAAGTTGTCCATTGGACACAGAAGGTCATTAGCCTTGATTTTTCGGGTGCGAAAATGGATTTTCTTTCAAGGAAATTGATACGTATACAAAGGTTGTGGCATGGTTTAATGGCTGCTTCACGGAATAGACCAAATATTTAGATTTATTTCGTGGTTTTTGGGTGGAAAGAATTTTGTGGCAGGCGCAAAGTGAAAGATGGTTGAAAATTGCTGTTGGAAGTAGAGGAAACCTTAAGGAGGATGGTATTTTTGTCTCGATAAATAGGTGTTGAAAATTATCGATTTTTCGTTTGATATGAATTATTTGATTAATATTTATATAATTATAGATAATTCGACAAAATATTTAATTTGATAAAATTCGATAGCTCGATAAATTTCGATATTTTTATAAGTATATGTAAATTGTTTGAATAAACGTCGATTTTTCGATTAAAGTCGATAAACATAATTCTTCAAATATCTTGATTATTTTCTTCCCGACACCCTAATAGAGTCTTTAAGCTCACCCCGCACCGAAAGAATAGAATGACCATTTTCTGTTTTGGGTAAGGGTTAAGGGGGTGCTCAACCCTTGTGTAGATTCGACTTACCTGTCCGCCTTTTTGACACCCGACCACATGGCCGCCGAAACGGGTGGCATGAAACGCAAATTGCCAACGGGTGGCGAGGCATAGGGTATGCCGCGATACGCCTCCACCGGATCCAAATGCCTGCCATCTAATTGGACAATTACGCCCGAGATGGCGCCATTGCGTGTATGGATGATGCGTGAGGAGAGTTGGGCGGGTAATTGATCATTCGTGCCACTTGATGCACCCCCGCTGCTGCTGCTGCTGCTCGCCAGGCGACCACTGCGGTTGTTGCCACTGTTTGAGGCGCCACCAGACGAAGATGAACTGCTGCTGCTGCTCGTGGACGAGGTGGATGATGAAGTAAGGGATAATGAGGGCACGGAACTCGAGCTGGAAGTGGAGCTGCTGCTGCCGATCAACACGAGTCCTCCATTATTTGTTGTAGAAAGGGAGCCACGCTGTGGGGCGCTCAGGTTGCCACTGCCACTGCTGCTGCTGCTGCTGTAGCTGTAGCTGTTTCCCGCCGCATGACTGCTGCTGCTCAAGAGCACTAGCATTGTCATCATCAGCGATGACCATGTCCTTGTTCTCTCAAGTTTTCTTCTCGTTCTCGATGATGATGCTGGTGCTGCTGCTGCTGCTGCTGCTGCTGCTGGCGGCAGTTGTCGCTTCGAATGCAGCAACATGACCATTATTATTATTGGTCAAAAATGGCTGTTGGATTACTGTGCTTTTTTTTCACTGTATTTATTTTTTATATGTCCGCTGTTCGAGTTGTATAATTGACCACAAGATAGCTGCTGTTTGTGGCGTGGCCTCGTTTTTCGCTTACGCTTTCGCTTGTTTTCTGTAAAGATTTTTCTGCACTTTCCTCTCGTGTTTTTTGCATGCAGTTTTTTATTTATTATTAATTAAAACCAGCGATAAGTTTGTGTGCAATAAAAAAACGTGGCAGTTGTTGAACTGGAAAGAGAACAAGCAGAGTGAGAGAGAGAGAGAGAGAAATCAATATTTATGGCTGAAGGTTATATGAGAGTTGCCACATAAAGTTGTAGCTGATGAAATTTTCATATTAAAATCATGTAAATAGTTTAAGTTATTCATGAGTATTTCTATGGATTCAAAGGATTAAACTGTTAAATGACAAAAGTTGTGGGTATTTATAGGGATCCAAGGAATAATTGAGAAAAGGATAACATCAGAAAATAAATATAAATAAATATAAAAAAAATAATAATAATTAAATTTCAATGTCTACATGGTTTTGCTCACCCCTTAGATTCTGCCTAAATCCTTGCCACTTTATTAGATTAAATATTCTGTTCATAATTTAGGTAAGAGCGAGAAATTCCATCAGGCCTCTTGGCCCCACATGCAGTACTCTTCATCATTCAGACAGACAGACAGAAGGACAACTCTACCACTCTTCTCTTGGCTCTTCAGCCAATTCCCCACCACCAAGTGTGGTGCAGTGTGTGTGTGGTGTGTGCCTCGAGGCATTTTCAGACGAGCACCGGACCTCCCCCCCCAAAAAAATACATGCTATGCCATTTCGTAGTCGCTGAATGTAGGCACGCACCCAAAATAAAAGAACAAAAAGAAAAGACAAAAATCCACCACTTCGTCCATTCCATTTGTTTTTTTTTTTCTGTAGCCTTGTTTTTTGGGATGTTTGCTAGCTGAGGCATCACCTTGTTTGCACTTGGTGTAGTGTCCTTGCCCTTGTTGTTGTCATCCAAAACAACAGGAGGAGGAGGAGGAGAAGGAGAAGAAGAAGACAAAGGATGGGTGGCCAAAATGAGGAGGACAGTTGGCATTTTGCATATGCCAGACATGTCAGGCAGGCAGTGAGCAGGGGACGGAGAGACTCCTGACAACATGAGCACAAGAATGCCTACGTGAATGTCAAGGAGGAGCGAGTGGAGGGGGTGGTTGAATCCTTTTCATTGTCTGGTGACTGGACTGACATTGGGTCATTGGAATGAATGGTCTCTCCATTGAAGGAAGGACACCGAAGGCAGCTACCGGAGATAAGGGATAATGTACTCGGCCCTGCTGAAGATCTGTTTTCGGATTTGTTTCCACTCAAAGGGGATCATCTACTGCTGCTCCACAAAAGATCTCTCTCTCTTTCTTTCTTTCTTGAAACGTCGCTAGTTGTGTCTGTAATTTAATCTCCTATTCAGAATGCAATCTGCAACCCAATCAGCAGCAGCAGCCATATTTTTCCTCACTCTCTTTCGCTGCTTTTGTCTTGAGTAATGCACTTGACAGCGCCTTATAAGCCCTGCCCCTGCCCTGTTCTGTTATTCTTTTTGTGGTAGGAGATGGGAAAAAATTCTACGTATTCTACTTACTTATTCCATGCGTTGTGCCGTTGCTCCTGTCTGCACCGCCTCTAGTGCAGGTGCTAAGCCTTGCTTGGGATGACGATGATGATGCTGTCGTGCATGTGTCCTTGCTCCTACTGCGGATGCGGATGCTGTTGCAGCAGCTTCTTGAGAAACACTTCACGTACGCCTCGCTCAGCTGCGTTGTCTGCTGCTGCTACTGCTGGTGTTGTTGCTGGTGCTGGTGCTGTTTCTTCTGCTGCGTTTTCTGAATGCCGGCACGCTACAATTGTCATGCAAGCGTACATTTTACAGAGACATTCACGTGCTCAACACCCTCGGCACTGGCTGCTCCTGCTCATGTACGAGTAGCTGCTGTTGTGCCATCGTGGCGGCTTCTGCTGTAAAGAGTGAGAATACTTTTTTTTATTAGACCCTCTATTCTCTCTCGTAGTATATTTTATGCCACTTAGACTATGATTAATAATTGAGCGAGACACGCGCCATTTGAATGCGTATTTAGTGCGGGTAAACAATTTACTTAAGACAGCAGCAGCAACACAACCACCGGAAAGGGCAATAAATAATGAGATATTTACGTGGATGAGTGCTCTTTGCAGAGATTGATGTTGGGTGTGTACATGGGATACATTTCATCCAGAAATATTAGATTTTAAAATATACAAAATTGATCATGATCGATATATCGATTACCAATAATTTGAGAAATTTATATATTTAGATAAATTTCGATTGTTTCATTAATTTAGATATTTTAATAGTTCGAAAAGCATCGATAAATGACAATTATTACATAAATTTCAATATTTTTAAATGTCTGAAAATTTATCATTTTGTTTATTGAGATATTTATATGATATTTTGATAAAAAGATGTTTCGATATAGATTTATCGATAAATATCAATAATATCTAAAATAGTTATATTCTGCATTTTTCCTCCATCCATAAATGTAAAATAAATCCAATCTTCCCAAACAGATTGCCAGCTCCGACATATATATCCTCTGGACTTGACTCTCTCTCTTTTGCTGCTCTATTAAGGGCAGGGTATAATCAAGCTCGTTATCTCGTGGCAGCCTCTTGGATATTTTAATTATATGATGCCCTCAAGTGTAAGTAAATTATTATGCAGATCATTAGCAAAGTAATTAGGATACCAGCCGCTCTGCTATGCCTCTGCTATGCGCCAGGATTCTGCCGCCATCATAATCCTTGGCTCACTAGGTGAATTAATTGTATTCGTGGAAATTGAGTTATATATATATTTCCCCACATTCTAACAACGCCTACCGGCTATACCTAGTCTGCTCTCTCTCTCTCTGTGGCTTGTTGACTTGTTTTCCTCGCATTTATTTATGCAAAATTCAAATGAATTTCCCGCAAAATAATGTCGGCCCAAGGGCATGAGTGTGCTCGTAGTTGTAGAGATATATATGTATATTCACTGGCAAAGCAAATAGCAGCAAAGAAGCTTAGTTTTCGGTTGCGTACTCGAAAGAGAGAGTTCTTAAGTTACAAGAATAAATAAGGAGTCGCCCAGAGTCGGAGTCCTGCCAGTCACTGCTGCCGTTTAAACATTGTAAATCATACGCAATGTTGAGTCCTTCTTTTGTTTGAATATTGTAAATGAGTTAAGCAACTCATCTCTTTCCGTACCATGTGGCATATTGTGGTCTGAGCTAAGCTCCTCACTGCGTTTATTTGTCAAGATGTTGCAAGCTGTGCGGCGCCTTCCACTGATTGTTATTTATGGCCAAGAAATATCGCAGTAAAGTCCTGTAGTATGCATATATATAGCCAATACCCACTGTACCAAGAGTACTTAAAAGGGAACACACTGTAACACTTTGTTGCAGTGTTTATGCAATAAACATTCCCAGGCATATTCAGTGCGACGAAATACGATCACACATATATGCCTGGTACTACATTAGTGCAGCGTCGGCATGTATAGCATAGCCGACGGCACTTGAATATGATCCACACAAGCATGTGCATATTCCCCTCGCGCCCCCCGCTATCAACAGCGCTGGGCATATATATAACAAACATATAAATGCGGCCGCTCCGCTGCCGGCGTTGCTGGCGGCGCAGCTACGCTGGCCCTCAGCCAAGTAGAATTTAAGAAACATACAAAAAGATCATTCAATAAAATTATATCAGAAATGACGGATGTCTTTTCTTTAAAATCCCTATCTCTGGAAGTTATATTTACATGGCGACCGTGACAATGAGACCAAAAAATAATTCTGCAAAAACAGTTTTCACGCAAAAACAAAAGAAAATGTGCATTTAAAATACACTTCCAAATGACCGTGACAATGAGACAAAAAAAAAAAAAATAATTCTGCAAAAACAAAAGAAAATGTGCATTTAAAATACACTTCCAAATGACCGTGAACAGTGAGACCCAAAAATAATTCTGCATATCCAAATTTCACGTTTAAATTGCCTCTAATAAATTACTGGATTTTCAAAAAAAAAAAACAAAAATCCAACCGAAGCTAATCATGTGTTCTAAAAAAAAAAAAAATAATAAACAAGAAGCGTGCTGACATAAAAGAAGATAAAGACCTGAAAAGGCACCGACAGCGCTACATAGAGCGTACGACGAATACCTGTGCGACGACCGGCACCGGAACCGCCTGAGCCCAGAGGCCCAGGACATCAGCAGCCGAAAAATAAATACGCGTGAGAGGCCTAACGCCCCTTACGCCACCGGTGGATGCCAATCTGGAATCAGATTTAATAAACGCTGCTCCCATCGAGCAAAGGGACAAGCCAAGCCTACAGGAGGCTCTGGAGGCTTGTCCAACCGATGGACCACGCCCACTCTTGTTAGTTCCAAAAAAAAAAAAAAAAATCATTACCAAATTCGGAAGAAAAGAAATGGCGATTAGTAATTGACTATCGCCAAATCAACAAAAAACAACTCTCTGACAAATTCCCGCTCCCCAGAAATGATGATATTTTGGATCAACTAGGCAGAGCTAAATACTTTTCATGCCTTGACTTAATGTCAGGTTTCCACCAATTTGAAATTGAAGAAAATTCAGAAATATAACATCTTTTCCATCTTTCTAGATTATGTTCCTTTTGAATGGTCAAGTGAATGCCAACACGCATTCCAATACCTTAAAGAAAAGCAGACGCACTTTCGCGTATTAATATAAAAGAACTCAAAGATATGCAACATAAAGTCCTGAAAGTCACTACCAGGCGACAAAGTAGACAAAAAACCTGCGCAGGTTCAAACACAGAATTGCAAAAGCAATCGATCTCTTCAAAGCCCAATATATACAACGTCATACAAAATGATGATGTTAAAAAAGTAGTGACCTTACATTTATCTTCGACTAAATGTTTCTTTAAACATGGGAAAAAGATATTTGTAAGAATTAAAGTTAGCGACCTTTATACTAATGGAACCTTCGACTTAGGTCAATTTTTCCAAAGGCTTGAAAAAGAAGCCGGTATAAATAACGTCAGCCAACTTAAAATGGCACCGAGCGAAGAAATCTTTGAGAACATTTCAATAGATTCTTTTAAGAACAAGGGCAATAAAATATTAAAGAATTTAAGAGTAGCGCTACTCAAGCCGGTG